TACAACATAAACTTTATACATGTTTAAATATTAACTTTTTTAAAATATTATTTATATATTATAAATAATGTTTAGTAAATTTTTATAATGTATAAAAATAAGAAGTTATAATTTTTCATAGTAGGAAATAATGAATTTTTATAATTCTATAATTATATTTAAAGCAAAGTTGGAAAAAGACTTTTCTAGCCTTTTTCTTTGAATTATTTATAATATGTGGACGATCAATTTATTAATAAAAGAGTTAATGTAAATATCAAAAATTATTAATGCCTTTTAATAATTTTTAATTTTAAAGCCTTCTATTGTTAATATTAAAACAATTTAAGTATTAAAATAATTATTTATAGCGTTTTTAATAATATTTTTTTGTATAAATATAATTTTTCAAATTTAATGCAATTTTTCTTTTTTATTATTTTTGTGAATATTTAGTATCGACTTTATTTTATGGACTAATTTTAAATATTTTTTATTAAAGTTTTTTACTACATTTAAAAAGTTTAAATTTATGAAAAAATATATTTTTTATTGAGTTGTTAATAATAAAAAATGTTTTTTAATAATAATATATAAATTTTAATTTCTTGTTTAATTTAGTTATTTATAAAATATTGTAATATATTAAGTTTATATTAATATCATATAAGAGCATTTATAAATAACAAAAAACTATATAAATTTTTCTATTTTTAAACTATTTATAAATATTTATTAATAATTAAAAGTCTCATATTAATGTTGCGTATAATATTTTGTTAAAAAATATATTATATGCCATTTTACTTTTATTTAAAATTTTATTACTGACTATATTAATTAATATTATTCATTTTCATTTAAGTAAATTTTTCTATTACTTGTAAATTTTTGTTTCATTTTCGCGTTTATTAGCTGTTAATGTTGCATAGAGTTTTTTTCTTTCTTGTTTAATTTGGCTATTCAAAATACTTTTAGTTTTACTAATATAATATTTATATTATTGTTTATTATATTTGTAAAAAAAAATATTTTGTTAAATTTGTTTTGACCTTTCAGTTATTAAAAATTTTATAACTACTATTGTTATTATTATTATTATTAATTTTATTATACTTACCTTTTTGTTTATTATTATCATTTATTTATTTATTATAATTTTTCTATAGACTTTTTTATGTTATAACCATTAATTTATATATTTTATTATATTTACTTTTTGGTTTATTACTATTATTTACTTATTTATCAGAGTTATTATATTTTTAATATACAGTATTATGATTTTTTCACTTATATAATTATATTTACATTTTTATATATTGTTATTATTATTTCTTTATAAATTTTATTATATATTTATTTATATATAAGAACTATTAATCTTACTTTATATATACCGTTATTATTATATTAATTTTATTATTATTATTACTTTTATTATTATTAATATTTTATTATTTTTTATTTATATTAACTTTATATATATTGTTTTAATAATTATTAATTTTTTTATATATTTTTTATTTTTGTTCTTGTCATTATAAATTTTTAAACTTTATTAATTTAATTATTAATCATAAATATATTTCGCTGGGCGGTCCAAAAGGGATGAATTTATTTGTTAATACGAATTTTTATATTATTTCTTTTTTTCTTAACAAAATAATTTATTACTTTTAATTATTATTTTAAATTTATAAAAGTTATAACCTTTTTTTATATAAAATAAAAAAGTTTGTAGCATTTTTTTTATAAATTTTCATTTATTTTTGAGTATTTAAAAATTTTTATAAATTTTTTAAATTTTTCTATTAATTAATTTCAGTCTTTATTATTTTTATTTTTTAGATTAATATTTTTACTTAATAAAATTAGTATAAAATTTCTTTCAAATTTTATTAACTTTAATTTAATTTATAAAAAAAAATTTCAAGTAAATTTACTATTTAAGTTAACTTTTTTTTATAATATAACCAATAATTTTTTTTTTTTTTAAAATTGTTCATAATTGTTTTTAAAAAATTTTTCTTTTAGAATTTTTGTAAACATTATTATTTTTTATTAGTTATTAACATTCTTTAAAGAAAAAAGGAAAATTTTAATTACGATAAAAATAACTTTTATTATATTTTAACTTTTCTTAGATATTTTTATTATTATAAACTAAATAAACTTTTTTTTTTGAAATGAACTTAAATTTAAAAACAATTATTTTTTTAGAAGAATTTTATAAATCTATAAATAATTTAAATTTTTTATACTAAAATATTCAGTATCTTTTATATTTATTACTAAGTTTTATTATAAACAAATCAATTTTTTTTTAAATTATAATTATTTAATTATTAATAAAGTATCTTGAAAATTTTTTTTATAAATTAAAATATTTTTTTGGTTGTGTATAAATTTTTTATTAAATATTCAATAATTTTTAGATTTATTTATATTATAAATGAACTAAATTTTTTTATAAATAATAATTATATAATTTTAAATTTATTTAGAAATTTATAATTATTGAAAGTAAAATGAATTTTTTTTTAAAAAGTTCGGAATATATTCTGGTTGTTTTAAATTTACACATAATAGTCAATATCTTTTTATATTTATTATTATTATAAACGAATTTAATTTTAGTTATAAATAATAATTATACAATTTTATGATTTAATTAGAATTTTATAAGTTAACAACGTAAATTAAATATTATACATTAAAATTAAATTATTTTCTTGTACATAAACATGTGAAAACTATAATAATTATTTTACTTCATATAAATGTTATTATAAAATTTTATATCCAAATTAAATTTTTTACATTTAAAATCAAATTAGTTTTTATTTAATTTCTTTACAACTTTTTTCTTATTTATAAGAAATAACCAATAATTTATTTATAGAAGAAAAGATTTACTTTTGTAACATAACTTAATTTACTTTAATTATAAGAGTTTGAAACAAATTTGAAATTTATTAATTATATATAAATTTTTTTTTTTGAAATTAATAATCTAAATTATTCTTTTAATAATAAATTTTTCATAATTTTAATTTTTTAAAAAATATTAAATAATTTACATTTAAATTGTTTATCAATAGTTTAAAATTAATTCCTAAATTTCTTAATAAATATTAATTTTTTTTTAATTTTTTATTATAGTTATATTTAAAAGTTTGCAATTTTATAAATTTGTTAATTTTAATTTTTAATTTTTTTTAGATGTTTCCTTTTCTTACACTTTTCCTGGTCTTCAGTTTGAAAAGAATTCCCCGTTGGCTTTAAAAAAAAAGTGCGAGTACATTAGGAAATGCGAAAAACTTCTATTTATTGATTATCCGCTGGAAATGTACGACTTGCTTTACTGCTGCTTGCAAATTAGCCCAAAAAAAAGAATAAAAGCTTCTCAAGCGCTTCAGCACAACTTTTTAATTCAAAATTATAACGAACGAAGCTCACAATCGTTTTAGAATTTTTCAAATAAATTGTTTATAAAATTTATTATAACGGTTTTTCTTTACAAAAAATTTTTTATTTAATTTAAATTCTATAAATTTATTCGTTAAAAAATTAGTTGTTTAGAAGTTCATAAGCAAAAGAATAACTTTTTTTTATAATATTTATAAAGCAACTAATAATACTAAATTAACTTTTAATTTTAATATTTATATATATAGAGAAATAATATATAAAAGGTATAACTTATAAAAATAATAAGGAACAAAAAAAAGTTTTATAATAAATATAATATAAATGATAAAAAAGTAATCATCGTTGTGTATTAATTTTTTTTTAGTTGTTAAAAAAAATAAAAAATAGTTTTTATACTTAGTAAAGTCCACAACTTTTTTTTTTATAGAAGCGATGCCAGTAAAAGAAAAACAAATTTTCCAATTTTTTTTACAAGCCTTATAGTTTTATTAATTATTATCATGAAAAAAGTATGCATAAGCAAACCTAAAAGAAAAACAATTTCTTTAATATTTTACATAAGAAAAACGGATAATAATACTAAGTAGAGAATGCAAATTATATATATATAAATATACAAAAATAAAGGATTTTAGTATGAAGTATATTAATAAGGAGAAAACAATGAACATTGTGTTAATATTCAGTTAATTAAAAATTATGAAAATTCTTTTATAATATACATATAAAAACGAATAAATTCATTTTTTTTGTACTTATTTAAAAAAAAGAATTTTAAAATAAAGTATATTAATAATGGGATAACAACTAGCTGTGTTAATAATCAATTACTAAAAAAATTTGAATAGAAATTGTTAGACTTTTATATTCAGCAAACTCCTGCATCAACAAAAGTCGTTTAAGGCATGCCTTTAAAGAGAAGCTCACTTTTTAAAAATTTTTAAAAGCTTTGCCAATTTTATAATATAAAAAAATAAATCTGAACTCCTTTATAATTTTTAAACTTTAACTTATTATATAGGACTGTAATGATACTAACTTATACAAATAAAACTAATCTATTTTTTCTAAGGCAAATATATTAACTCGAATCTACATATCTTAATTGATTTATAAATTTAATAATAATAAAATATTTATTTAAAAACAGCTTTTCAGGTTAAGAGGGATGCTTGATCTTTATTGTAGACTTTTAGCGAACGCCTTTTAATAAATAAAATGTCATAACGTATAGTACAAAGCTTGTTGGTAGTGGAAACTACTAAGATATTTATAGTTCCCCTTATTAACAAAATTACTTTTTTAAGTAATAATTGACAATAATCCTTGGAGGTACCCTTAATAGTTTTAGTAAAATCTCAATAGTTCTGTAAAGTTTTAAAAATGTTCCATTACAGAAGTTTCAAAAATTGCAAATGTGGAGAAAAAAATAATTTTTAGGTATAAAGGTAATTGTTTTTTTTTTTATATCAATTTTTTTATTGTTAGCCAGTAAAAAATTTTTTTAAAATAAATTCAATTTTCGTTACTCAAATCTTTTGGTGAAAGAGTAATTTTAATCGAAAATAGAAAAGAGTCAGTGGCAGTGAACGGAGTGGGATTCGAACCCACGCCCCCGAAGAGACTAGATCCTTAGTCTAGCGCCTTAGACCGCTCGGCCATCCGTCCGCTTAAGGACAACCTTTAAGAATAAACCTTTACATGGAAAACTGTTAACTACCTTTTTAAAAATTAGAAGCTTTTGCATTTATTTACATTCCACTACCTTACACGAAATTAACCGGTTACCGAATTCAGTTTACATATATGGTAATTATATTAAGTTAAAAAATAGATATATTTTTATATTTAAAAAAAGCTGAAAAGACGAAACGTTATGAAACCTTTAATTTACTAAATGAATCTGCCTGTGTTAAATGACGAAACTTCAATAGTCAAAAAATTTAATAAGACATTTAGATTACTATACTGAAAGCAATGGTTAGTAAAATAAAAAGTAAACTTCTTTTAAAAATATAAATTTTATATTATAACCCATTGTTGCTATTAATTTTAATATATATACTAGTATTACTTTTACTAATACCACTATAATATTAGTCATTAGTAATAGTGTAATAAGTTAAAGTAAACAACTCTTCAAAAAAAAATGAAAAATATATAAAACAGTCACGACGCTACCCAAACTAAGAACAAATTTTGATATTCACAGTAGTTTGAGATAGTAACGGTTGGAGCACACACATGAGTTTGGTAAATTTTATAGCCAATAGGTTCTAAATAAAAACAAGGTTAAGTAGTTTAATTGGATTTTATAGCCCATAGTGGCTGGTATAAGACGCCTTCTTCCTCACTCTATTTTTACTGTGTTGGCGTAAAGCAGTTTAATAACTTTGTTTTTTGTCTCTTTCCTACCTTTCCATTTTTTTTTGCGTGCAGACTGTAGTTAATTTTTTAATCTACTTTTATTAAGCTCAAGAATTTTTTTAATAATTAAAAAAGTTGTAGCTTCTCGCCATGCTAAACGAACATAAGAAGCATACTATATTATTAGTGCAATACGATAAAAATTTAGCATCAAGAATTTGGTCTGATTTTGAAACTGTTTTATCTGGAATGGCGGGTTAAATATATTTTTTAATATTTATTTATAAATATTATATAATCGGATCGTTTTTGAAGTATTTTTTAAATTAAAGCACTTACAACTGTTAATTAGTTTATTTATCCTAAGCATAGTTTTTTTTAGGCCTACTATTAAAGTTTATATGTATATATATTTTAAATTTAGCGCTTTTCAAGTTTTACGAAGAACATCTTAAACGCCTCGGGCCCTCTGAGTAATACATTATAATCTTATTACACACGGATCCAGCTTTACATATACTTATAGTAAAACATAATTTTATGGTTTAGATAAAAAAATTATACGTTTAGTTTTTTACCAAAAACATATGAAAAGTTTAGAGGCATTAAAAGGTTTAAGATATTAATAGTTTTATGACATTTACTAAAGATTAGTGATAATTATTGATGTTCATATTAACTTTGAAAGAGTTATTTGGTGGCACTCACTGGTTTCTTTTTATTGAAAATTAATCTTTTATTATTTAATTTTTTTTAAAATATATTATGGTCACTCAATTCTTTAATTTAAATACTTTTTAAATTTGGTTTTTTTTTTTGAATTTATAAAGTTTTAATTTTATTTAATCTAATTTTTTTAAAAGTAAAACATTTTTTTTTATTTAATCTTATTAAATTTTTATTAATTTTATTATTATCCTTTGATTTACAATACTAAAAATTATTTTGTTTATTTTTGTTATTGAATTTTATAGAATTTAGAGTTTTGATTTTTTTTTATCTAAATTTTATGGTAAACATTCTTTAATTCTATATATTTTTTATTTTTGTATTAAATTTTATATTTCCCTCTATTTTTTTTATAAAATTTTTACTTTCTGACATTATTTTTTTTTATATTTTTTTTAATTCTTTTTAATATGTAAAACTTTATTTATTCTAAATATATATTTAAAACTTTAAAATATATTTATATATATTTACAAAAAAACATTTTATAATTTATGCTTGCTAATTAATTAATAAGTTAATCAAAGATTTATTTTTTGTTTAAATTAATTTTAATTGTTATATAAATTAAATCTTTTATATAATTTTAAATTTCAAAATATCAATTAATTTTTTTTATTAATTAATTATACTTGAAAATTTTACTATAATTTAAAAATATTTAAAGTTTTATTATTATTTTATTTTATGTGTACTATATTTTTTTTATTTAATTTTTTTTAAAGATTTTTATTTTATTATTAGAAATTAATATTTAGATTCGTATTTTAAACCTTTTTACTTTCTATATTAAAACTATTATTATTTTAATATAATCTTTTTTTAAAAAACTTCTAAATTTTGTTAATAGTTATTTAGTTCTTTGATTTATAAACTATACGTTTAAACTTTTTATACTTTTAACTTCTTTCAAGTTTTATTATTTTCTTTAATTTCAATTTGGAATTTTTATAAATTTATTTAAGTTAAATTTTTTATTTTTCAAATTTTTTATTTTCTTATCCAGCTTTTATTAATTATAAGTTAACTCCTTTATTTAATTTTTATTAATTTAAGTGTTTTCATATAAGATATTCTTTTTTTATATATTTTTTAATACTTTTAGTAAGAAGAATGAGTTATACATGCAAGATTTGTTATTTTTTTAATATTTACATTTTATTAATATTTATATTTAACTTTTTTAATAATTGTATAAATTATATTTTAATTTCTAGAGATTTAGTTTATGGACTTGAGGAAATTCTCAACTACATCGATAGTTTACATGATTGTTGCTGTTTGGTGTAATAGTTCATTTAATTTTGGTGGAATTGATGCTTTTTTTTTAATAATAATTATATTTATATATTTTTTTATTTTTTTTAAATAGCTTTAATGATTTGTTACTGACTTACGAGCCGAAAGATAAGGTCTGCTTGTTTTTTTACTAATAATTTATATATATATTTTTAAAATTATATAAATGAATGCGAGTAGATTTGGATTAAAAACACGATTACTGGCAATATTTTAGGTTTTTGTAAATTTTGTAATTTAATTTTTAAAGATTTTAAACAGTTCTTTATATTGTAGACCTTAAAAATTTAATTGACTCTCACTGAATTTATTTCAAGGCTTGAATCATTATTTATTATTATTATTATTATTATTATTATTATTATTATTATTATTATTATTATTATTATTATTATTATTATTATTATTATTATTATTATTATTATTATTATTACTATGATTATTGCTCTCGTGGTTACTATTAGTATAATTGTAGGCAATCAAAAGTTGAAGGGGCAATTTTAATTTACTTGGAAACAAATTTCTTTGGTTGGAACCTTTTTTGCTTCTATTAATAAAATTATTTAGTGAAATTTATTAATTAAGTTATTGTTATACTAATATGAATTTCCTTATAAAATTTTTTTTAAGCTTATGTATATTAATATAGAAGCAAATTGGACTAGTATTAATAGATTTTTTCGTGAGCCTTGAATTATTGTGTTTTTGTAAAGGATTTGGAAATTTTTGATTTATTTTACAAATTAATTTTAAGGATTAACATTTTATTGGAAAGAGGGAAGAAGAGCAATCAATTTAATTATACCTACAGAGAAGAAATACAAATGTACAAAATGTGGGACAAACATAGAAACAAGTGACAAAGTCAAGCGGATGAAAGCGCGTGTGTAGACATGTGGTATGAACACGTGATTTGTAGGATTTAACTCCAACACATTTTAAAAAATAACGTCGGATGTATTTGAGCCCGAGTGTACGTGGCCCCTAAAGATGCCTAATAAATACATTACCTCCCTTTAAATTAAGTTTATAAATTATAAAGTAAACAGTAATTGAATTTTCTTTTTAATTAAAAAAATTCGTTTAGTTATTGGTATCAAAACAATTTTTATACTACATCTATAAATTTTTTTAATTTTATGAACCGCTTTAGCAGGAGCAAGTTTTATAGTAAACTAATTAATTTTATTATAATATTAAAACTATAAAAGTTATTAAATTATTACTTATATAAAAAGTTTTTACACTACAAATATAATTTATAGATAGAAACTTTTTTTATAAACTATAAATTTATAACAAAAAATAAGTTAGTAGTTAATGGTTTAAAAAAAGTTTTATAATACAATTATACTCAATTAACTATTAAATTTATGAGTTCGCACAAAACAATGATACCAACCATATATAATATCTATTAAGATGTTATAAGGTCTAGTAGAAAAGTTTTATACTACATTAGTATATCTTTGATGAACGCAATATTTATAAAGTTACATTTATTAATTATAATCTATAGATAATACGTTAAAAAATAAGCACTGGTACCAAAAAGTTTTTAAACTTAATTAAAAATTTATGATGGAAGCATCACTCTCTTACAGTTAAAACTATTACTTTTTAATATAAAAAAGTCTCTAAATAGTTATTGGTGTTAAATATAGTATTATACTACATCTATTATGATAGATAAAAGTACTATAGTTATAGTCAACTAAATTTCTGTACAATTTAGCCAAAGCTAAGAAGTAATAAATTCTGTATAGTCTTTCCTATATATACTATTATATTTAAGTTTTACGATTAAACCTTGTTCTTGTAGGTCACAATATTGATAATTATTAAACTGTTTACTAAACAGTTTATAATGTAAATTTATTTCTACAATATATACAATATATTGAACTTGCACGAAACTTTTACCTTGGTTTTTTTAGTCGCTCATCATTATTATCAGAATTTACTCAGATTTATCTATAAGTTCGTTTACTTTGAAAGTCCTGCACTTTTGTAATAGGCTAAGAGTACAGCAAAGATAAGGAATATTATAAACTTTTTAAAGAGGTAAGCTTTCAAAAACCTAAAAAAAATAAAAATTCAGAGAGAATTAGACTCAGCGTTAATAGAGGCCCTTTAATATAAATTTACCAACTTTTTATGAAGCGATTAAAGATTTGTTGAGCATTTTTTTTAAAGAAATTATTGTGGGGATACTCAAGCGAAGGTCTAGTAAGAAAATCACTCAAATTTCTTTAAGATATTTACTTTAAATCACAAAAAGTTATAGCAGGAGTAAATTTTTCTTATATAACTTGAAAAAAATATAAATTTAAACAAACTATTCAACAGATCAGCTTGGAAAGGTTAAGAAAAAGAGATCGTAATACTTAGCACAATTGCGTTTCTTATTAGTTATTTTTACTGTAATCCTAAAGTTTTAAGACCTTGAAGTGATTGCAGTTTACTTATGCTAACATTTGAAGTGTGCCAAGATGATGTATATATTATAGGATCTCCTGCTATTAGCCAAAACCGATTTTCATTTTTTGGCTTCTGTGACATTAAAAATTTATAACAATCTTTACTAACAACTGAGAATCTAAGTAACAACATTTTACTATTTACTTTTAAATAACACCGTTCTCAAATAAATTAATTAAAAAGAAATTAAAAAACCAAAGGCCAACTTATACTTTTTTTAAAATATTACAATCTTTATATATGGTAGAACATATATTATTGAACCTAAAATTAGGAATAGCAAGCTTTTTCAAGAAAACTAAGAACACCTAAAAGTAGCGCTGTCCATTAAATAAAGGCATTCGCTTTTTTCCTAGACATATAACCGTACTGATTTTTTTTAATTCTCTAATGCCGTTATACATCGCATACATTATAATAATCATAAAAAAATGTTTTTATGATCATATTAAATAGAGATGAAATAGAATTCAAGGCACTAAATAATATAGCAAATTCAATAACTATTTAATGATTAAGTAGTTCGGTTTCACATTTAAAAAGGAATAGGAACTATTTCTTACGGAACAAAGTGCGCTAGTAAAAATGCTAAGAATGTTTTAAGGTTAATCCGTTAATACTAAGGCACAGACAAATTTCTTATCAACGGGTTATTTATGTCTTACTAGCTACTCGCTTATATTATAAAATTAAAAAAAACTTATTAACAAAATTAAAATAAAGTATAATATAAGAATTTTTTTAAATGTTCATGCCTCCTTGACAAAAAATTATAACCGAGATAGTATTTTTAATCCCGCCCTTTTCACAATATTTTTAATAATGCCTCCCGTAAACTCACAAATTTTTTTCACAAAAGCTATATACGCCTAAATTTTAGCTTTGGCTTTAACTCATGTTACACAAATTGTAATTATAAAAATAAAAATTAGCTGTGCATCAAAAACCGCACTCTTAGAAAAGTAAGTATTAATATAATATTATACTTTAAATAGTTTTTTTATAAATTACTTTATATAATATATTATTTTTTAATAATAATAAAAGTTATTCTTAATATTATTTAGTTTTTGCACTTTTGTATTATTTATTTTTCCAAACAGTTTAGTAGGATATTTACGTTTCAAACAATCAGAGCTGATGATCTTTAATAGCTATAACCGGTGCCATCAGCAAAAAGTGCCAAAAAAAAAAGGTTCGGCTAGTTAGAAGAAGGATGTTATGAAGTTGGTAAAGAAGCGTCGAAGTAAAAACAGCTTAAAATTTTGCAAACCGGAAAAAGCAAGCTTCTTTAAATTTATTCACACAGAAAGATATGAAATATAGCTACGCTGCTTAGATGAATCAATTATCGTAAAAAAAATTTTTTTCATCTCAAAAGTCATAATAAGAAATGTATTATTTACTTTTAAAATATATATAGCAACGAATAATTGTCATCAAAAAGTTTATAAAGAAAACTTTTCAATTGGCAATATAAGCCAAACACCCAACCAAAAGTTATATCACAATCACGTGTCTGCTTTGTTTTTTTTCCGAGTTTCTCTATACTATCTATTTTATAACTTGTAGCCAATAAAAAAAGTGCTTTAATAAATATCCACCAATAAGCTAATTATTTTAAATATTAATCGTCTTGAAAACGTTGATCCCCGAAGCTGCAGTGGAGGCGAGCAAGCCAGGCACCTGTGGATGCCAGTGCGCTTCTTTTATATGGTTCTGGCCTTGATGCACAAACAATAGCTGCGCAGGAATTTTACTCTGCTCTTCCGGTGAAGAAACCTCATAGTCTTCCTCCAATGACAAATCCCATAAGCTGATCTACAAAGAGAAATTTTCATAAATTCATAAAAAAAAATATTACAAAGCCACCTGGTCGTCCGCTCCAGAGACGGCAAGAACGGATTCATCACACGGGTGCCATTCCACTGAAGTAATTGCGTCTGTATGCCACTTAAATGTCGCAATTGGGAGCGCTTTGGCGCCGAATGTGCGCAAGTCCCACACCTTGAATTCCCCATCGTCGCCTCCAGACACAAGTAGGTAACTCACGAGCCTTTAATAATAATAGTAATAACAATAATAATAATAATAATAATGTTTTACTTATTCCAAGAAATAACATTAACGTCGCACTGGTGAGCACGCACAGAAATGGCACAACGAGACTTCTGCCGGGCATCCCAGATCTTGATAGTTTTATCGCTAATAATATAATAATGTGAATTTACTATTAAAAAAAGTATAAAAAATTGTTACACTAAAATAATAATGATATGAAAAAGTAAAAGTTAAGCGCCTTGAACAGGAGGCTAACGCGTTTGGTTCAGAGGGGCTCCACTGTAAATCTTCTACGGAACTCTCGTGCCCAACAAAGGGGGTCTTATATAATAATATTAATATTAATATTAAATAATAAAACAATTAAAAATAATTAAATAAAATGACACTTCATGTTAAGGGTTACAATAAAGTTAATACAATAATAATAATTAATAATATTAAATAACTTATTTAATTTTATTGTGTTAAATTAATAATAATAAATTTCTTGATTAATTATTATACTTCATGTTAATAATTATTATAATTTAATTTAAATGTTAAAAATAAATATAATACCTGATTATAATTAAATAATTTAAAAATTAAACTTCAAGCTAATAATAATTATAACGTTAAACTGAGTACAAGAAATAATAATAGTAATAATGATATTAATATTAATATACTAAATAAAAAAAATTAAATAATTTGCGTATAATAAATCATTGTTAATTTAATTAGTACTTCGCAAATGGACCACAAGCCATCTTCGGTGGGCTCCCATAAGTAAACTTGTTTAGAACAATCCCCGGATGCAAATCTTCCTTGCTTAACAGTAGACCAGTCCATGGCGAACCCTAAATATTAACAATAATAAAAAACTATTGTGAAAACAGGAACATAATAAATATATAAATACAAAATTAAGAATTAAAAAATAATAAAAATATAAATATTCAAAAAACAAAATTAGATTTATTATAGTTTAGATCTCATACAAACAAAGGTTATAAACAATTAAAAGGTAAAAGCAAACAAAATATATAAATAAATTTTTGAATCTATAAAAAATTAAAATTAATTAAGTTGTATAGGTATTGCCTTCGCAAGGATGCCCTGAAAAAGTGAATAAAGGTTTTACATTAAAGGGAGCAGCCCTTTTTGTAGAAGATTCAATATATTTAATTTGCTCACTTGCATTAAACCTTAAAATATAAATTAAAAAAACTTTACTAGTAAATAAAAATTAAATATTAAATAAAATAAATAACTTATGTTAAAAAATATATAAAATTTGTAACTATAAAATTTGACTAGAAGTTAATATTATACTTTATTAGTAATTATATATTATAATAAATAATAAATGAGGAAAATTTACATTCTAACAGAACCGTCATCTCCCCATACGCTAAGAATTTCCGACTTATGAGGAGCTACACGGATTCTTAAATTTAAAAAAAAAAATTAAATCAACCTTAAGGAAATAGAAAGTTATGATAACCTGTTAATAATTCCAAAAGGGTGCTTAATAAAAGAATCTCTCAAAATGGGATCTTCTTCGACTTCATCATACTCAATGCCATCATCTAAAAAATTATATTTATATAATAAAAGAATTAGGAAAAAAAAAAGCAACCCGAATCATCTTGACTGCTTGTTTTATATAAATTAGAAAGTTTAATAAATAATATTTTGTTATTCACCGCCTGATCCGCTTGCGTGCCAGCGGCAAAGTATAATGTTAAAGGGAACTAATAAGAATATACATAATAACGTATATATATATTAATCAAAAAAAATTACTTCAGTGCGGTTTTCACCAAGATTATCTTTGATAATATCGAAACTAAGACAAGGCCATTCGACATTAATTGTTTGTAAAAGGTCATAAGCAGTCTAAAAAAAAGTTAATAAAATTGTGGATGTATATAATAATGAAAAAAGTTCAAGTACTGCATCAAATTCAAGCACTTCGCCTTCTTTAAGTTTTTCAGAAGGCAAATAAACTTTAACACTTTCGTCATTGGTAATATCTTATAAAATTAAGTTTAAAAAAAAGGTAGGAAACGATGAAGCAACAATATATATGATTATAGTTATTGAAAAGTTTAATAATAAAATAAAAAATGGATAAAAATACTAACAAAATATTTAAAGATAGACTTTTAATAATAGTAAAAAACCATTTTCAACTTCATCGCTGTAATTTTTGATATCTTTTGTGTGTTCCTCTTCCAAAGATGAGATATCACTTTCCTCTTCTTCTTCTGTACTTATATTCGTAGAGCCTGAATCATAGCCTGATGACAAAAAAATTTAATCTCAATGTAAAAAAAAAATTCCAATAAACTTTTTAACAGAAAATAAACCATCTTCTCTATAAATATTATTAAAACTTCACACCATTATGCAGTCTTTTACTCATTGCTACAAGTAGCTCTAATGTAGCTTCTTTGCTTTCAACTTAATTATCTTCGTGTCCTCATGAACATGTGCTTAAGAGTTGGCCAATACTTCTCTTTAGTTTTTAAAGGGCTCCTGCTGAGAATACTATTCTTTTACTGCTCCTCTTTTATTCAAGCATTTGTATATATTAATCTCATTAAACTTTTAAGCTTTTTAGATGCTTAAAACTAATAAATTTTTTTGTTAAAAAAATACAAAAAGGGGAAGTTTAAAGTTAAGAATTTGCTAACAATTATTTTAAGTAAAAAGTTTTTTTGTTTTGAGGATTAAACGGTTGCGTTCAAATTAAAATGATTTTTTTTTTGTCTTTAAGGGTTATGCGTCGCTCCTAGAAACTATAACTAATTATAATGAAGCCTTTCATATAGCATACTTTCTTGTAATTTAATTTATTTAAGTGAAATTCTGTCTATATGATGTTAAGTCTTTCTCTGGTCATCTCGGTGTTTATATCTAAAGACTACATCATTTCATAAACATAAAACTATGTTAATAGTTAAATAACAATGATTTACAAATTTATCTAGATATTTTTCTCTCTTTATTTTGTTGTTATATTTTTATTATTGTTTTGCCTTTAAATTTACATTTACATATATACAATTTTATTCCTATTTTTCTTTAGTTTTAGTACAATCCGGTAAGGCTTAAGACAGCGCTGAACTTAGAGGTATTAATTGGTTGCTGCCTATTAAACTGTACTTAAGACAGAACCACTCAAAATCGTGATAAATTTTTTTTATATGTAGGGTAATCTCTATCTTAGGGGCCAAAACTTTTTCTGAGTTCCATGAAATTACATCCAGTTAAAAATAAACTATAAAGTACTAGTGTTAATAATTTCATCTTACAGAATCCTTGACTAGATTTTATCTTGAATGGATATAAACTAAACTTTACTGGATAACAGTTAACTGGGGATTTAAATATTATGTTTTTGGACTATATTTTTAATTTATGAGTGGGAGCTATTTGCGGTAGTTAAGGTATGTTCAGCTCTTCAGAGGCCTCATTTATCATTCATATCTTTTGATGTTTAATTGTAGTATAACTATTATCAGTTTATGTTCTTCATCTTTATTGACGTATTATGTATATTTAAAGGCCGTTCTATGTTATCAATATTAAATTTTGTAAAATTAGTCTTACCATTTCTTTTAAGGTTGCGCAACAACCCTATATTATAGTTGCATCTGATGGGTATATGGTACCAATATTGTCCGTGCTTATGTGCTTTCCTAACTGATTATATTACCTCAGTAAATTATTTTTCCAATATTGGTGTTTATAATAGTATACTCATTTTCAATAAAGTCCGGAGATTTAAAAAGTAATATTCCCTCTAAAAATATATACTGCAATTTCCTTTTGTAGCCGGAGTCGTAAAAATAAATGTTACATCCAAGTGGTTGGTGTTGCTGTCTTAATTTCGTAGAATTGCCTGCGCTAAAAAGTTGCCTTTTGATGTTGTTAATGATAAAAACGGCATCACCCCCTGCCTCACTTCAGATTTTTTATTGGTAAGCAGGAATTTTTTAATACATACCTAGTCATGTTACAGGAAGTTTGTTTGGTACGTTTAGTAGGCTTGTATTGTGGTGTATCCTTCACTGACAAATTTAATAAGTTCAAAGATAATTTTTTCAATACAAGTTGGGTGAGAGGTGTTATTAAGCCTTATTTCTAATATGTATAGCATTTGAAGCAAAACCTTACTTTACATGTTTGGATTTTGTATACGTTCCAACCATTACATGTTGATTTTATTTATAGAAATTAAATTCTACAGTAATGTGCCAACTTTTCTTAAACAAGAAGCTCGGCTAAACCTTGTTTATTATTTTCTTATTTATTTTACATATCACACGAAAGTCACAGTTGTCATTCGTAAGAGGTTGAAAGCCTAGAACAGTTATTTTTTGGTATTTGTAGCTAATATGTAGATATTTGTAATGTTCAGAAGGTGTAACACAGCTCTACTTGTTTTCAATAGTGGATAAAAGCGTAAAAGCTGGCACTATCGCTCTGTTTCCTGAGCTGCTAGTGAAACCACGCTTGGCTTACTTATTTGACTTTAAAGCTAGTATCTTTAGCTGGTCCATTCGTAGAGGCTTTGCGCGGTTCCGGATTGGCCTGACTGAAGAACAGTATTGGCTATTAGTACTATATATAACCACCGCTCTCCCGATGTAACCTATATAAACCATCTTTTAAATGGCCTTCGGCAACAGGTAAATTGCATTTTTCAACTGTAACTCTTCACTTTTCATATTTTGAAGTGTATCCATTCTCATCTAGTTTCCTTACAAATATTAGATTGTTTAAAATGATTTATCATTATTAAAAAAAAAAAAATTTCATAACCTAATAATGAGTTAACGTAAAATTTTATTGTATTAGTAGATGTTTTGTCATTTCGTACATTATGTATTAATCCTTAATCTTTAATAAACTGTGGATAAGCGGCAGAGTCAAGTATTAGGTCTTAATCAATGAGTGCCGGCATCATGAGAAAAATGATTCGTTAAATTAATATTTTGGCTGCTTGATATTATTATTTTTCTTTTAAAAGCTTAACATCTCTATATATGACCCAAAATCCACAATAGGCAAATCACTTTGTAGAAATAGGGCAATAAATTCTCATGCGGTAATCACCATATTCTTTGTACATAATAAGAACAGATTTTGTGTAAGAGGTTTTCCTTAATAGCAGCTTTGATTTTTAATATAAAGAGTGTTTTGCTTCTATTAGTTTCCTAGCCTTTTCTTGCAATAAAAAATTCAGAGCATAGCTGTAGTCCATTTCTTTCATTAATGTACCATTGTTTTAAAGAAATTTTAGCACATGCACCTATCGGAAGGTTACTAGATGTTAATATAAAATTTAAACGAATCCTCTTCAACCATTCACACCTTAAGTTTTAAATTTACAATATTTAAAAAAATAAACGAGAGGATGTCTTAGTGGTTAGTTAAACTTCATATTTTGCATAGTTATTTTTTTTTATATATTGTTAGGTATATATAGAAAGATTACTAATAATGAAGGGGTAACGAAAAGGCCTAAAAAAGCCTTCTCACGCTTCACAACCGAGAATGGGAGAATAAGCTTTTTAATCTAGAAAACGACCGTAGCCCTCGTTCTTTGAAATTCATTAAATTGGTGAAGAACAGCCATAAATATTAGGGTATTTAAACCTTTAATGACCGATATCTAAACCTTTAAACCCTTTAAAATTAATTGTAATCATATATATAGATGTACAGATGTGACTAAAACAAAAAAAGGCAACTAAAAAAATTAACACGACTGCCAGTTTTTCGTGAACCTTCATTATATACTAACAACTAAGCAACGAAATAATCAGTAATAATCATAAAATTGTCTAAAAATGGTAATTTGCGTTAAAACTTATGAACTGTAATCTTTTCCTCAACAATAAACAGCACAGCTTCCCATTAAAGTCGAAAACCGGGACTGTTTAGGACGACAAGGAGGAAGCAGAAGTCTTTGCTCTTGTCCCCCTTCCCAACGCCCACCCTTAACAATTTCTTCAGATAGGACAGCTACCCTCACACAACTCTTATCCTCCTCTAGTAAGCAAGCACCGCTAAAGGATCACACAAACTTCGAAGAGGTACAATCAATTATTTACACCTTCTCAACTAAGTCACCAAGACCTGATTGCATAACAAACCTCATGCCAAAAAACTAACCTGAGAAGGCATAAAAACTCTCACTCAATAATTAACGCCACTCAGTTTTTCACAATTTTCGGATCGATGGAAAGTGGTCACTGTTATTTTCTACTAAAATTAAAAAAATCTTCCTCAAACCCCGCAGACTATAGCCCAGTAAGTCCAATATCCTATGCTGGCAAAGTAGCAGGGGGAGTTATTCAGGCAATAACAGAAATATGTAGTACAACCCTATCATCCCTGAAAACCAATTTGGGTTCAAAAGGGACCTACAACTATGCAGCAACTCTTGAGGTTCACCGAGCATGTGACAAAGGGGTTTAACAACAACCACAGATGCTGTCCTCTCAGATATTGAAAAGACTTTTATAGAGTTTGGCATGCGGGTCTCATAACTAAAATGAAAGTCTAAAAATACCAGATTACCTCATCTCCCTTGTTGAATCATTATTGCGCCATGGAGAGTTTTTAACTAAAATGAAAAGGCTACTTAAGTTTGACTCCGAGGGAAGGTATACCACAAACTTCCTTACTTTTATCCGTCCTCTTTTCGATTTATAATGCAGACATACTCAGACAGTCCAATACCTCAACATTTTTAATACAGTTCGCAGGTGACACAACAATCTTTGCTATTTTCTAAGTCAGTTCCTAGCAATAAAATATGTGCAAGCATACGTTAAAGGGATCGAGCTCTGATTCGCCCAATGGCACTTTACTAAGAACCCTTTAAAAAGCGCAGCCATAATCATTTCTAAAAGCTGTAAAAGACTAAATTTTCAAACAATTGTCATTAACGGTACACCAGCCCCTTAGCGCACTAACAAACTATTTGGGAGTAAAAATAGACAACAGATCCTCATGGCACAACCATATTATGTCACGAAGAAGGCTAAAATAAAGATTAAACTACTATACCGCTTATCTGCCGAAACAGTCGCCTCTTTAAACGCAAAAACCTTCAACTTTATCTCACCACCAGTAGACCAGAGATAACCTAAGCATCTTTGGCGTGATCATATTGTCTCCCTGCGGTTATTCAGTCACTCCAGGTTATACAGAACTCTATACTGAGGATTATTTTAGGTGAGCTAGGATTTGTTCCTTTGCTTTATTCTTCA